ATTTTTTATTTGTGTTTTTGAACTCCTAATCTCAAGTGATCCACCCACCTCGGCCTCCCGAAGTGCTGCGATTACAGGGTGAGCCACCATGCCCAGCCATGGACTTGTGATAATTAATGCTGTTTTTTTTTTCTCTCTTCTTTTCACAGATGTTGAAATGCTGGTTTTTAAAGCTTTTTTTTGCCCCATTTTGATGCATCAGATAAGGTACATTCTTAGAATGATGACCAACTCCCGACTTAAAATTTAACCAATGTTGTGAGATTCCCCACCATTTGTAATTAAATGCAAGTTGTTTTCAAGTTTAGATTATGTCTCTAAAAATGAATGACTCCCATAGCCTTAGGGCATTTTCTGTTCACAGAAGTGAGCAACAAGGACAACCGGTTCCACAGGATACAGTAAATACAGCAGAATGTATGTCAGAGTGCACCTCCATTATGACTCATAAAAATGCTCTGCTCTACAGCTTGTGTAATACAGGGGTTATTTTACTAACCACATGGGAGGTTTCTTAGCCTTGGAAATAAGAAATTTTTTAAATATCATAAGCCATGAAAGCAATATTCTATCAAATATTCAAATATAAACTGTTGACTTCCATTCAGACCCGCAAACTGCATGGGGGACTTTGTAAGCTTCTTTTTGAAATTCGATGTTTCCAGGAAAGCACACAAGAAGAAAGAAAGGAGGTACAAGAAGGGGAAACAAAATCTCCTTCCACTCTTTCAGCATAACCTGTTTTAATATCCGTAAGCATCTGGGGAGTCACCGGGGCTTTCAGTGACAAAAGTCTGTGGTGGAAGCCCCTCTGAGAAGAGAACTCTGCTCTTTAGGCCTTTCAGAGGTGGGCAGAGCTCGGGAACCGGTTTCTACGGACAGAGGACGCGTTGCTAAGGGACGGAAGGGTGGGGGCGGGGCGAGTAACCCGCGGAGCCAGAGAGGGAGGAAAGGAGATGAGGTTTGTTTCTGGGGGCGGGAACGTTGGAAACGCTGAAAATCAAAATTTGTAGGGGGGTGGGAGGCGAAATAGAAAAAACATCGTTTTACATAAACGGCCTTTCTGTTCCTGGAGTCAGTGGGACGTTCTCCAGCCGGGCCTGGACTGGGAGAGTGTGAGTGAGGTCAGGCGAGTGTGGGACCTGGCGGGAGGCGGGTCCCGGGGCTCTTCCCAATTCGCATTAATATTTAGTTTGGAAGAACCCTTTGCGTCTTCTAAACTAAATATTAATGAGCTTCCTCAATGTTGACCTTAATTTTGCTTTCCCACGAAACGACCAAAGGCATAGAGCGTTAGAGTAGGGCTCCGTGTGTTTCCAGCTGGGATGGAGGCTCCTGGGGGAAGGTGACCTGGGGGCGGAGAGAGAGGTGCGAGGGGCGCTGGGGGCTGCTTAACTGATACATTTCCAAATGATGACACCCAACTTTCTGGAATGGGTGGTGGGAGCTGATCACTCCTGTGGTAATTGTGCTGCGATTTTCAGCTGGCTAATCAATTTTTCCAGTAGGTATCTGATTAGTCGCCCACAGTAACACTCCTCAATATACGTGCATCATCGTTTTAGAATTCCTTGATAGTTTTTCTTAGAAACTTCCAGGCTGCGCGCAGTGGCTCACTTCTGTAATCCCAGCACTTTGGGAGGCCGATGCGGGCGAACACTTGAGGTCAGGAGTTCGAGGCCAGCCTGGCCAAAATGGTGAAACCCAGTCTCTACTAAAAATACAAAAATTAGTTGGGCATGGTGGCGGGCGCCTGCAGTCACAGCTACTGAGGACGCTAAGGCAAGAGAATAGCTTGAACCAGGGAGGTGGAGGTTGCAGTGAGCTGAGGTCACACCACTGCACTCCAGCTTGGGTGAGAGAGTTAGACCCTGTCTCAAAAATAAAAATAAAAATAAATAAATAAGAAAATGCATAATGTGTAGCTAAGCACATGGGTCGGGTTTTTAAATGAGTTCTCTCAGTGCCAGGGCTGTACTAGTTTGCTGTGACTGCCATGACAAAACATCAGAGACCGAGTGGCTAAACAATAGAAATTTATTTTCTCACAGTTCTAGAGACTAAAAGTTAGAATTGAAGGTGTGAGCAGGGTTGTTTTCTTCCGAGGCCTCTCTCCTTGGCCTGGGGTGGTAGCTGCCTTCTCACTGATTGTTCACAAGGTCTTTCCTCGGTGTATCCTGGTGTCCCAATCTCCTCTTCTTATATGACACCAGTCATGGAGGGGCCTACCCTAAGAACCCCATTTTAACTTGAGTCTTTAAAGGCCATATATACAAATACGGTCACATTCTGAGATCCTGGGGCCTAGGACTTCAACATGAATTTGGAGGCAACATAATTCAGCCTATAATATAGGCCATTTATCAACATTTTAGATTTAAAAGAAAAAAAAGATTCCCCTAAGTTGGTACTTGGAATGTGAGATGGAGCTACTCGGCCAGTTATCTCATTATTGAATAAACATGAATCCTTTAACAGATGAAGTGAGTGCTTACTGTGGTCTCAGTAGTGGACTGTGTCACATAAAAATGTAAGAAGTGGCCTTGTCCTCAAGGAGTAAGCATTTGAACTAATAAAGCCAAATAATGGAAGTGAATTTTAATTTAGCCTCCATTTTCTAGGTAATTTCTCAGGTCTTTAGTTTGTGACTTTAGAGATTCTTAGTTTTCCTGAGTTGTTTAGAACTTGCTCAAGAAGCCTTCTCAGCTGAACCTATTATATTGATGACACTGGGTTTTGTTGTTGTTTTTTTTGTTTATTTTTAATCCCAAAGGTGTTGTTAAAATAATATTGCTGTCTTAAAATATTCAGGATATTTTTATTTCAGGTACAACTTAGTCTCTGATATGCTATTAATATTGACCTGCAATTTTTGTTGTGAATAAGCCTTTGCAGTGAGGCCTGTAGATGATTTACTGTGAGAGTAATTGGGAATTCATTCTGCCCCAATTGGCATGGCCTCTATTTCATTGTGGTCTTTAAAAACAAAAACGAAAACAAACAAGAACAAAAACATCACTACTGAGCTAGAAATTAAGAACATAAATCCAAGTTTCCTTTCAAAACAATTTTACCAAGTTTAGGTTTGCAAGAGCCCCATTTTATAATAATTGACTCAACTTTTTATTTCATCTTCCAGTACATCATTATGAAGTGACATCATTTATTACAGATAAACTAGGTTTACTTTTTCTAAAAAGTTATATTCAGAGACATCTCCAAATTAAATTGTAATTTTCAAATCACTATTAGATGTAAAATGCTTTGCCTGAGGCTGAGATTCAGAGGTGGGTAAGTCAATTCTGCTTTAAACGAGCTTTCAACCTAGTGAGGAAGAGATTTTTGTCAAAGAGTAAACATCTTTTTTTTTTTTTT